AAAGAACGAATCTCTCCGAGTGTAACAAAAAACCAAGCACGAGAGACCACTAAACGACTTGTTTTAATGCCCCATTCACACTTCTATACAGTTCGAGTCGCCGAGAAATACCTCCGAAGCGAGAATCGATACTTATTTGCATACGCTATAAAAGAGGCCAGTCAACATGCATGATATATTAAAATCACGTCCCCGGAACAATTAACAGAAACGAGTGAGCGATCAAATAATAAAAAGTGCCTTTGTCATTACAAACAGTCGGGCGTACGTTTTCTTAGAAACACCATAACGTCAAGAATAATAATAACTTAGTAATGCTGATGAATCGGTTTTCAGACGGTCGAAGCCAATCGGGCGGCGCGAACGCGAATTACCAATATGGCGGATATTATAATTGTTGCGTTCACACGCGTTAATAATGTACCTTTTGTGCGGCTGGCGGCTATTTAACGAGGCTCTTTACACTGCCCTATTATTTTTGATATCGATACAATTTTAAATATGATCCCACCGTTAAATCGAGGCTTCGAATAATTAAGCATGAATAAATTTTACTTCTGAGATATTTGCATTAAAACATAAAACAAATACATATTAAAAAAATGTAAGGAATACTGAGACCGTGTTAAAAAACCTATTCACAGTACTTTTGTGAGCGTATGCTTGAAGTATTAAAATAATTGACGAAACGGCCTTGGACATTGTTATGTTTTAAAGTATTAAATATTGATAATTTGTTAATTTTTCTCACTTGTCAGTCATCATTATTTCCATCGCAGGCAAACAATGACATTAGATACGTTCAGCCAATATCAAGCGAATGACGCAGATGTGCGACGGATGGCAACACAAATAAGCATTCACATATTATTGAAAATAATTTTCCGTCATAGAAAATGCGCGTTAGGCAACCTCAAAACCTTATGGGGACAAAAAGCCGGGACGTGTCGCATCACCTCCAACCTCCGATTGAGAAACCCAATTTGAATAACAATCAATAAATTAATGTGCGACTGTAATATATTCTTAAGCGGGAGGCTGCGACAAACAGACGCTACGAGAGCTGAATCTAAATGAAATTTTATAAGAAACGCTCCTTTTGTAAGGCCCGCTGTGGACGGAGTGTGATACTTTTCATAACTTATCATCATTATCGGTCGCCATCACAATGCTCTTTTGACTGCGTGTCGTTAAAGTGGACTAATCTCTCTTTACACGTGGAAACGAGCGGCGCCGAATGAGTTTCTCGTGTCGGCATAATTAGTCTGCGATTCAAAGCGCGCCTTTATTTCAAGTGACCGGGCGAGCGGACACGGCAGCCCAAACCGTCACTTTCACGAATACAATGATAACTCCACATCCAAACGGATCGGTTATCTCTTTGTTACGTCTATGTGCAAGTTTGCAACTCGAACTTAGCAGATTCCTTCGATAATTTCCGTGTCCACGCTCGCAACAAACGTCGATTTTTGCCAGATTCAATGATTAAACCTTAGTGAATTTATTACGTGAAATATACAAGTTCGTATTATAAATTATACATATTCGTATCTATATTAGAGTCGATTAAGTTGCGAATCAAAATACATAGTTACTCCGGTTTGTTACTCTAATCTACATATATTACACTCGCTTTTAGTCCAATAAAATTCTTACTTACCACAACTAATAATACTGTTGCGCTTGATTCCAATAATATCATATTGGGTTACTACCAACAACACTACTTACAACTTTTCTATGTATTTTCAAATGAAAAGTATCTTTATTCGACTTGCAAAAGTAACTAATTTGAATAAAAACTTTAAAATATGTAGAAAAAGTGCGAAAAGATTGTCGCCGCTGTGGGAATCGAACCCACGTCTTCGGCATTCGCGGCCTGACGCTCTAGCCACTGAGCTAAACGGCTGATGACCACACCGACGAAAATCTTAACGCATTCCTCTACATTGTTTTCTTAGCATTTGAAGCAATGCTTGGCGCCATCTATTGTTATATCCTTTCCAGCATACAAACAATTTCGAATTTCGTTTTACAACGATAATTCGAACGAGAGATGTCGCCATTGCTTTTTAGAAATTTAAATTGTTTATAGTGCTAATCTTTGCACTTAAGATTGTACATTAAAATATGTAGAAAAAGTGCGAAAAAAAGCTAGAGCGTCAGGCCGCGAATGCCGAAGACGTGGGTTCGATTCCCACAGCGGCGACAATCTTTTCGCACTTTTTCTACATATTTTAATGTACAATCTTAAGTGCAAAGATTAGCACTATAAACAATTTAAATTGAATAAAAACTTTTAAAAATTACCGGTGCAATCACCCAGTTTACTTACCGTCTACTAAAAATACATTATCTGTAGCTCATTACGTCGACGTGGCTCAAAATGAAAATATTCAAATTGTAGTCAGGCGACGACATAAATAGCAGCTCGTTAATTACTGACTGTAATCACATTTCGCCAAACGCGTTACGACACACATGTCCCATCCCTTCGCCGTTCTAAATTTAAATATTATTTAGGCGGGAGCTCGCGCTACGCTCCCTGTCTCGATAGAATCGAAAATAATTTATGGATCTTTGTTAACGTCTCTAGATGTAAATAGGAATCGATGTTGCTCAAAAATAAAAATAAACTCAGACAATTAAAGGAATTCACTGAAAGCGTAGGTATATATAATAAAATAATAAATAATAAATGTAAGACGTTTCATTTTCGTTATCTATAATATGCGATTTGGTTCGTTTGCACAAACAAAAAAACATATAATTAAAAAAACGATTTAACCGTTTTATTTCAATGCACAAACATTGAAACGTAAAAGCCTGTAAGGCCTGCCATTCACACTATAAGATAATTTCAATTAAAGCCTTCAATTTTGTATAGACGGCTGCGAACTGAACGAGTAAAGTCTAAATTGACATAGATATCTAAACAAACATTGCAAGATTTTCCTCTATGTTTACGTACATTATTTACATTTAAATGTTATCGAAACGTGATCAAACCGCCAGACTAAATTTTATTAGTTTGCAATTTGTTGTTTTGTGAATATACTCCACGTGATTTAATAACGATCGAATAAGAAGGATTTCATTAGTGAAATAACGATTCTCACATCATAAACACTGTTATACTAACTTGAAATGTGGACTATAATTTTCTTTTAAACCTGTTTTGCAGAGATATCTATATAAAAGAGTCAAGGGTCGCGTGATTGAACCCTAATTACTATCTCCAAAAAATTCTGACTTTGTTTTGTATTAGCATTTGCAAAAAGATGTACTTTACTCAGAAGTATTTCGTTTAATGGCGATTGACGTAAAAGAAGTTTTTCTTATCTATAGAACGGGCATCTGAAAATTATTCCGCCGCAAATTATTGCTCGGACTGTGGATAAATAAATAAATTGGGGAATCACCGTAAAAATCATTGGATAATTTAATTGTGCAAAAGATCGATTCGCTCAGATTATCGCATACCGACACGACAGCCTGGAGCAAAATTCGAAGCTTTGAGTTTTTGTAACAATATCAATATATACATAAATTTAATATAATACATTGAAGACATTAATTTTAAATAAATAAATATTAACAAAAATTCAACCTAAGAAAAAAACGATTTGACACTAAACTTAAGTGTAGAAAGTGAGTCTTGTATTAAAAAAGGCTTCTTATATTAATAATGTAATAATAGCTTCTTGTTAATCTACGACAAAAAGATAAAAACAATAATGTACCTATATACAAAAAAAATGTATTAAAATTCTTAAAATTTCTTCATAAAGTGTTACGTTTCGATGAATAGATATTTCTGGAGTTGTGTTGTGAACACCACACATTGTTAAGTGAAAGTAGACTATTAGGGCATAAAACATCAGTCAATCCCGTCCGTGCCCGTAGACCAAATTTCAACAAAATTAAAAATTACAAAAAAGAAAAGAAAAACATAATATAATAGATGCCAATGATCCTAAAAATATTTATAAGCTGTTGTTATTAAATCAACTGCCTGCACATCTTCGTAAATTGGACGTCCGTAATAGGCCTCTTTAGATTTCAACCCGGGGTCCCCTCGCGTGTCTAAATTCTGGCTCCAGGGGAACAGTAGCGGTGATCGCGACTCCAAATTGCCGCCTGTCAGGGTCCGCCGCGATCCAGGACTCGACCGCGTTCGATTTGCTCCCATTAAAAGGATCGTGGGAACTTTCCGTTTAATAGGAGTTCGATTTGAAGACATCGATGCATGTCCTTGGCTACACGCACCATCTAAATTAATTTTAAAACTGTCCCGCGTTTTATTAAGCTAGAAAGATCTAACGCCGTGAATGACTTTGTTCTCTGAATTGCAGACACCATAATAATTTGCGATAGTTATAATTACGTACTGAAATATTTATTTAATAAAATTATTTTTAGGGATCATATCGCGTTCATTTTAAGTTTGAATTTCCGATGCATCGACGACCGTCCCGTAACCGTGGATGCTGATGATGATGTATCTATGCATTTACAAATAGCAATTAAAATTTAGGAAGTATTAGGCCGTGCATGAGGCTTATATTTAACCAACACCTGTGGTACGGAACACGCAACAATCATGGCTGTTGCGCGAATGAGCAGTTCCGTCCGGGTGAGTACCACGACCTCAAAGAAGACCGGCGTGAAGTGGAAATATTATACTTCGGCATTTCGTCTGGTGTGTGAGGCACCAGGGGCCCACTTTATTAAAAGGTGAAAACGCATCTACAACCCTACGGGTGTTGCACATGTCAATGGGTATCACTTAACATCACGTGAAACGCCAGCTCGTTTACCACCTTCTCACTTTAAAAAAAATGTAACTGCATCAATGTGGCTACTCTTTTGGTCTTTAACGCCGATAGGGCTCTTAATTTGTCCAACCATTTGCCGTCACTGTCTACGAGAAATAGAGAGGCATTGAAATTGAGTCTATTTATTTATGCCGATCGAGTACCGATGTACATAAATTTTCGATGAGTCCGAAGCAAACCCTCGCCGTTGCGGGACAAATCTCTCTTTCATTCGCAGAGCCTCCACGGGCGACCGAAGCGGGTTGCGCCATTATCTCCGGATCGCGCCAATTAGCCGCTCCCGTCCGGAAAATGGCGGACGGGCGATCGGGCGTCAATCAGGGCATTACGATATCCCGCCAATTCTCACGACACGCGCAGCCTCCGCGGAGGCACGCCATTTCGCCGCCACGTTTAAACGGGCCCGATTCACGGAACAACGACACGGATAGACGTGCTGATACCTCACCGATTACACTGCAGCGCGAACGATTCCTATAATTTGAATACACCGCTCTTAGATTGCGACAGCTGAATAAGCTGATCTGTCAATCCGTTTTTTTTTTTCAGTATTATAGTTTAACGTCTTCGGATCTTTCCCTACAGACAATTTACCAACGTTTATGCCACCATTTCTTTCACTGTCAATCCGTTGGTGGTCAATCTTAGATTTTGCATCACAGTTGCGTTATTGATGTAACAGACATGTTTCATATCAAAAACATAATGGAAACAGCTACGTACCTCGACTGAGTTACTAGACAGTATTATTTATTAATTAATTTGGGAAAACAACAGCATCTTTACCATAGATTTTCCAGACCTTAATGAAAGACATTAAATTATGGAAACAATATATATTCTTATATGCTTATTTAAAACGACAAACAGAAAAAAATTTTAACAGTATAGTAGTATGCTGATAATGAATACAAATAATATGGAAAAAAATTAATCAGAAGCTTAATTAAATCTACTAATACATTATTTACTAAAACAAAACATAAAAAAAGAAGAGAACGGCTCGAATGCAAATGCGTATGCGAGTGTGTGAGTGTTGTATTATGTTAATAGTATCGTCTTTCATTGACTTTTTAGCGGGTTGTATGGCAAAAAATAAAATCCGTGTACGTAAGGCTATGGAAATATCCGAATACTAGCAAACTCCTTTGTTTGGAATAATAACACTATGAAGCGACGTTGAACCTTAAAATTAACAACCACTTATCTTAAAACAGATTACGAATTTAATAAACAATAGGTTCGTATATTAGTATAGTACCTATTATGGCTATATGTTATCGGCAAGTAAACTTGGCCCGTGATTTATCTAAAATTAGTGACAGTTAATCGATTTATTTATTTCTACGAAATGGCTACTGTTTAATAGAGGTCGATTTGATTACAAATTTCCCTAATTATATGCATCTGCATAGTGGTACAAGACACGCGGACGCGACTGACCGGTGGCGCACGCTAACATTCTGCCAGCGAATATTTTATTGATAATCTGTGGTAATATTGCAGATCAACATGAATTAAAATAAATGGCAAAAATACAAAACTATTGTCATAACAAGTCAAAAAAATAATACAAGAATATATTTTCGTGACAGACAAAATTGTATTTTAGTATCATTATATAAATATAGTAAACGTCGTATATGAGTCAGTCAAGTGTAACTCGTATTTTGTAATGAACCCAATGTAATATCGCATAAAATACCGCGAAAACGTCATTTCCGTGGTCTAGATGAGCTAGATCCACAACTTCGTATCTTCACAAGCATAGACATAATATCCATTATTATGTTAGTAATATGATATTACAAAGTACCTATGTTTTTGCTGTCTCTTATGTCGCATTTATTTAACGCTGTCCAACGCCGCCACATAAAAGGCAACATGCAACTGCTACCTGCAGATGTAATCATAAGCAGCTAAATTGTTTATTTCCCGCGGTTAAGGCCTCATGTAGCTTTAACGTCAATATTGCGACGACTGTTTCCAGTTTATAATATGCGATATTATTGGCTTCTAGAGGGGAGGAGTGGTTCGTAATTAGAGGATAGCGGGCAGGTCGCACGATAACTAGTCTTAATATTCATAATGACGATGCAACCGACGCCGCCATCTTGAATGAAGCGATGGGGGAAAGCTCGCAATTTGCTGCAACTGCACACCCCGAAAGCATCAATTCATATTTTACGTTAAAATTAGTATTTTATAATAGTTAACATTTAAATAATAATTTTAGTAAAAAAATGTACCTTACTCTGTTACCAGTGAACACTTAAGTTCCTTTTAATATTATGCTGATTTGGGACATACTTTATACTTCAAACAAACATGCAAACATTGCAATGAATAATTCAATTATTAATCGTATTTAAAATAGAAACATTAATATTAATAGCATTGAATGTTTTCTTTGTTTGGTGACAAATAAAAGAGTAAAATAATGATGATTAAATTATTAATCAAATGAATAAGACATAAACCACATCACTAGAGCCGCTCTTTAGATGCTACTCAAAATGAAATAACCGAGAAATTCTAAAGGCTTTTGTTGATGCGGACTTAATTAATTATATTTAACGTAACGGAGTTTTTATTGTAAGTTTGGTTTGTGTGATGCTGACACTTAAAATATTAGAGGCGATTGTGAAACCTACATTATGTCATATGCCGTTTTAGTCTATGGTTGTAAAAAAATAAAAAGCAGCAGCATGATTTTCGCCCGCCTCAAAACGTACACGACACAAGCACCAAAAATTATTAATTTTCATACTGACGAGTATTTTAAAACAAAATGTATGTTTTAAATTAGTGTATTTTCTCAATTAAAGTTTCTATTTAAATTACGTAGAAGTGTTTAGCCGAGAAAACGTTTCTTTTTTTTTAAATATCATCAATGCATTATACACATGACTAGGTCAGTTGTGTCAAATAAAATCAAATCATTAATTCATTGAAATAAGGAACATATATTTCATGTACCGATAGACATTTTTTTAGTTTACCACCGTTTTGTAATGAGACTCCTCTAACGGAGCAGTAATAGGAGAAAGAAACGAAACAACGTAGATATCCTCTTTATGTTATTTTCTTTTTTTTTTTCAAACGATATTGATTGATTTTATACCATTTTCTACTAGTATAAAATATCTTTGGTTAAAGCTTAAAAGTATTAGAAGAAATATTTATAAGATAATAATATGTATAGAAGAAAAAAATATTTCTAAATGTATTTAAAGTTTTGGGCTTTATGTTATTGCTCTCGTATCAGTTTTAAGTAAGTGCATAGATTTGTCTTCGATGAACGTCGCAATTTCCAGGGCTCTGTGTCAGGTAAACTTTTATACAGTCCTCAGCACTGTAACCGAGTACGTTGTCATATAGAGTAAAATTATCATCGAGAATAAAATAGACTCTGCTTTTATATTGAAGGAGGCTTGCCCACAAAAAAACAGCCAAGTGAAAGTCGGACTCGCGCTCGAAGGGCTCCGTACCATCTATAAAAACGGCAAAAAAAGTCATGTTTGTTGTATGGGAGCCCTATTTAAAGGCCCATTTACACGATGCCATTTTCTTGTACATACAAGAGCAATAATTGAATGCAATAAATTGCGCGCAATAATTGGTTAGACCATTTGTTGTTTAGACCATGCAACTCATTTATTGCTTCAATTTAATTGTATACAACAGGCAAGAAACTGGCACCATGTAAATGGGCCTTTACCTTCTGAGCTATGTCGGTTAGCTTTGTTCTACTGCGGATGTCTTCGTTGCGAACCCTATCACGCAGAGAAATACCGAGCATAGCCCCTCCATAGCTCGCTGAGCGACTGAGCTTTTGGACCACGTCTCAGTTTCGTATGTCATCACTGGCAGCACACATTAGTTGAAGATTTTACTCTTCAACCAACAGTTGTTTTAGTTTAGTTATGCCTTTACCTTAAGTTATGCTTTAAATTGAAAAAATTTGTTTTTTTTAAATGATATCGAAACAGTAAATAACATGCAAAAGGAACCTTTTATTAAACGTTTCAGTATAGAGGTTTAAGCGGAATAGGAATACAAATCATCTGTACATTTTTTATGATGTATCCATGTATGTAGGGCTAGAGTGGGATTATAAATAATAGAGACATGTAAATCGAGACAGGACAACGCCAGGGGGAGAGAAGTGTGCGCACGCGACGGCAGGCACGCCTGAAATGATACGTTTATAAATAACTTAATAAAGAGGGACGTCCCGTTACGCTCATGGACAAATTTTAATTGACTCTTAAGAACCTCTCGTTAATAATATAAATATTTAAATAATATTTTTGCGTGGATTTAATTTCGTTCTCTTTTTAAGAATTCATCTTTTTTTCCATCTGAGAAATATTAAAAAAGTCATCGAGTTAAATAAAAATACTCTAGGGATTTTAATTGAAACTAATCTAGGTCTACAAAGTGTTTGAAATGTTGGCAAATAAAGGCGAAAAAATCGATAAAACAAATCAATTGAAAGTCGAAAAAAATATTTGCATAAACTCAATAAATCTCATCATGTTGGTTCTCCAATTCATACTGGGCAGGGTGATTTAAAGTGTATTAAAATGTATGTGTTAATTATTGTATTTTCAGTATTGAATATTATTTCGCGGGATTACAATTCAATTAACACCAGCCGCTTGTTAATTAAAAATTTGTTATGTTTTTTTTGTAAAAAGGTCGCAAGTGAGGTAGCAGTTCACCTGATCTGATAACCGCCGCCCATGGACATTGGCAACCCTAGGGGTCTAGGGTTGCAGATACGTTGCCACCTTATAATAAGGGCCCACTTTAAACCTCACTGCACTTGCAACCTCACTCACCGGACGAAACGCAAAAGAATAAAGGCCCATTTACACGATGCCATTTTCTTGTACATACAAGAGCAATAATTGAATGCAATAAGTTGCACGCAATAATTGACCATCAAGAATTGTAAGCAACAGTTTACACGCAGATATAGTAAAAAAAATTGAATCGATTATTGAATGCAAGTCTTGACAAGAAATAATTGCAAATGTCTTTTGTTTACACCAATGCAATTATGTTTAGGCGAATATTGCTTTCAAGTTTTGACTTTTCTAAACACATGCTTATATGTGCGTGTACAATTTATTGGCGTGTTGCTTCAAGTATTGCACGTATTTGCGTTGACAAATTTTTCATGCAAGTGTTGAACGTTTTACAAAGGGCTGTTTTTTTTAAAAAAATGGCTCAATAATAAGTGTTCAAGTTAGATTATGCCGATTAAATATATTTCATTGAGATTTATTTATTATGATCCATATATTATTATTCATATTTTTATCCAACTTTTTTTACGACCTTTTCTCAATATTTCTATCCTCAAAAGAACAGCAACGATTAAATACCCTCACTCATTGCACTAATTTTTGCAAAGGAAGAGAGAATGCAATTGAATACAAGAATTGCTTAAGAAATTATTGTGTGTG